TAAACTGTTCAACGTAAATCGTGAATTGCTTTTTATCGAATAAGTCCGGAAAAATACCACCGGCCATAAAACAACATTTAAAAATTTATTCAGTGGCCTTCGAAATGTCCCTCCGTTAACCCCGATAAACCAGCAACCAGTGAATAAATTTTAATACATGGATTAATATTCGATTTACTGAAGTAATGTTGATTGACAGATAGAAAAGCGGCTGAGCTCACCCAGTCTGACGTAAAGTACTGGTATCACGTCGTCTTAAAATAACGCGATAGTAATATTTGCATATTTATTTTTACATCAATGATCCGATAGGATTTAGCAGTGTTATTTGCTAGTACTTTTTCCTCAATTATTCCTCAGAGATGCTGCGATTATTGTTCAATAATATTTGTTTTGGCATGTGTCTAGCAAGACATGGATATGTGAGAAAGACATTAAAAGAAACGCCCGTGTGTCTCGATGACGGGAAGCAACAAGAAATTTGCAAACAAATTTGTCTCAACTAATTTCAATCTATAAATTGATACAACTAATTTGCATACACATTCTACTTCTCCACGTCACCTGAAATCAAAATGACTTATTTTTGGTAACAATTTTTAATCCGAAAAGTAGGATTTTAAAGTATAAATCGAGTTCAGGTTTTTCATAGGTGCAAATAGTGGTTCATTTTTTTCACCATTTTTTTCACCATCCTACTACAGCCAGATCTGAAGGCCTTTGCCGCATTCTGGCCACGCTGTGTGGCGCGGATCGCGTGGACGGGTTTCATGTTCTCTGCACGTAATAAGCTCGGTTATTAAGCATCCTATTTTGGGGATGCCCGGTGGCCGAGGGGAAGACGTGTAGTGGCGTGAAGCAACTATGTCGACAGCAACTATGAGATAGATCACAGAAAAGTGCCCAGCAAAGTCGTAGCCAATAATTATTAGTCACCTAAAACATAAGACCGCTTAAAACATGGGATGAGAACACCGCCAAAATTATTATTACGTCATTATTCCATTTATTATTTTATTTGGTCGTTACACTGACATTGTATAATTTATTTCACCATTTATTCAGTTATTTGGTCTTTGTTTGAGTATTATGCGGACATTAGTATGTTATTTAGTTGTTATTTCCATATTGTTGTATGAGTATGTCATTATTCTGTTACTAGTATTTGGTCCTTAAAGTTATTTTCTTATTTTGTTTTGTAATTGGGCAATATTAGAATAGTATATTACTGTCCTATTATTAATCATTTATTTGGATATTCGATTGTCTTTTCATTTGGTTGTCTGAGCATTTGATTGTCTCGATATTAGCTGACATCATTATTAACTGAACTCTAGTCGTGCCCAGAAATCATTGCACAAAATCATGATGGCGCCCAGCCGCTATGGTTGCGAAAAATACCGTAGCATACACAGTCAGCTGGCGCATACGTGATAATAAAATAAATACGATATTTACTATATGGGGCCGCCATCTTGAATGCAGCACAAAACTAAATAAAAGACAAGTTGTGAAATGCGTTTTTCAGATTCCTACAAATAAGGACAAAACTACCAATCTTTCACAGAAATACGATCCATTGGGATTCGGTCGAATTCGTCGTTATTGTGTGGAAAAATCCCTTAATTGCGAACACCTAATTACACGAAGAACATAGAACACTTTCCTGGGGGTATTTGAAACCAAAAAATGTCATTCCAGCTCAGCAGCCAATCAGCGACGGCCTTACAGTCAGATGACAATTCTGGTTTACAGTGCTATTGTTGTCGCATTATTTATTACTATACTATACTATACTATTATTTATTACTATACTATACTATAGTAGAGCCGGTCCAGGGCCTAAATTGTTCGTTTTTAGTTTATAACCAATTCATTCAAGCAATTTTCGTTTTTTAACATTTTTTTAGTAGTTACATGTGCATGAGTCTAGCAAATGTGAACGAAAGTGCGCATTCGGACTATTACATATATTAAAAAGTGCGAACGGTGAAATCTTGATTTGGTAGTAGAATTCACGTTAAAAAAACAAAAGTGCGAATTCGTATTTTGGAAAATTAGAGAGAAATACAAATCAATACTCGAGCGTGATAAAAACATTGGCAGATCGCCGTGCTTACTAATAAAGCGAATTTTCCACTTTTATTCATTTCTATAATGATTGAAGGTAGTTGTAGGTTGCCATGATCATTCCATGTCGACCAGATCAAATTTATACCAGGCGATGCGCTCCTGAGTAGACTGGCAAAGTCGGGACTTCTTTTTTGTTTTACAAAAAAGAAATAATAATGATAATTAATTGTTTTAAGTCTTTTTAGCGTGATCGCGTCACAGAACGTTCTACGTTGCTAAGACGCGCACCGCTATGAGCTCTGTGCGAGCTGCTGTGGAACGCCGGTGAAAACGGCTAAAGTCGAGGAAACAGCACAAACTCAACTTTGAAGTAATCCTGAGCAACCATATTTATATATGTTACACATGCAGGGGCAATTTAGTTACACTGAGTCTCAACAACTATCACAAAGTACTGTTTTCTGCGAGTTTTCGACCCTTGTTTTCACCGTGATGGTTGCCAGGCGGTGAAAATGCCCGGATGTCCACCCTGAGATATAAGACTAAGTAGCACTTGTTAAATCTGGTGACTAGTTTAGTATGATAGAAAGCGTATACAGTTTTCTAATAACCACAATATATAGGGTGGAGGTCAAGGCCAAAGATATGTGCTTGGTGTGCTTCATAATAAATGCTTTCTATTAATAATTGCCTTAAAATGTCAATGTCATAACCTCATTGAAATTCTTAGCATAGTGTGTACGCATTGTGAATGCTTCTGGTCGTTCTTATGTATGCGCATGCGTAACAGTGCAGTGGTATAGTTGATATACATATTCGTCGATCTTGGAAGGGTAATGCCAGACTTGCATACAGTCTCTTGTTTATTTTTTGATGTTTTTTTTTCAATAAAATAAAAGGCGGTAACCCGGCTTTTGCCATTTATACACTTCCGTATTTTATTTTATTGAAAAAAGCATCAACAAATAAACAAATCCTTCCTTCCATTAAAAACAATCAACAGGTATTAAATAATCCATGCTGGTGAACGTCAACAATGTCTGGTTCCCATAACTCTGGGTCATGTGATATACGTACGCAAGTTGGCCTGTATGTGGCACAGGTACACAAGTGAAAGGTCAGTTCGGAATACAACAATTCATTTGAAACATCGAGTTGTGCACAAGGTAATGCATGTGATACACTGAGTAGATGCAATGAATGTATGTTTATTTCAACACAGAGCGAGTGTACAGTATGAATGGCATTATTACACCCGGTAGATCCCAAAACATGTGCTCGGTGCAAGTGAAAAATCCAAATTAAACATTGGGTTTGTTCGAAAATAAATATAATTTTCAGAAACTTTAATTACAGTGATAACAGAAAATTATACACCAAGTAGGCGGTAATCTTCAATGAGAAAAATATGTTTGAATGTGCCAATATCACATTCAAGTTCCGTATTGATGTCACTGTGACGATATGACCTTTGTTTGTCCTGTTTTTTGTGTTCGATTTCACGCATAACGCAGGATCGCGCAGTGAACGAAAAATTGCATTATTGTTAAAGTCTTGCTCGTTCTACAACAATAACATTTCACGTATACATGTTACATTTTGCTGTACCAAATTCCCTTTCCAATTTAATCGGTTTTGTTGAAAATGTAGCAATATGTAGTAATGTCTGTATTTTGGCTGTCGTTGGTTTGAGTTTATGAACTTGTATGTATTTATTTTATGCAAATTTTGTCTACGGCTGGGTATGTTATTTCCACTTATACATTATACTATTTGACGCCAATGTATCTTTTAAATATATAAATATATTAATGTTTGATTATAAACATGTATTATCAGCAGTTGCTACAAACAAAATGTACAAACGTGTGACCTATGTTAATTTTGCAGTGCACAGTAATCAAAATATAGCAATTTTAATGATCGCATACCAAATTGAATTATATTATGTTTTATAAATTAGTATCAGCGAGCATAATTAAGACATAACAATAGATAAGCAAGAACAAGAAACTTTGCAAGAAATGTCCATATGTAAAAGTCATTGTTGTTGACCTTGTTGTTGACTAATAGCATGTTTATATTAATGGCAGGCGGCCATTTGCTCGAAATAATTCTTGTTCTTTGCAATTCGAAACCCAGACACAGTCACCTCCTTCATTTCCTTGTGAATCATTTATGCATTTTTTAAACTTATGGCATTAAAGAAGTAGATGGGACTGGAGCCAATTGGGAGTTTGATTCAAAGCTGTAGTTGTCGCCACAGAGGGCGCACTTAAATCGAAACAAAGAAATTGTACTTTTTTTTTCTGACGCGCTTGAAATTACATTAGTATCTGCGACGTTTTGTAACTACAGCATGATACAATTAAGATAATAAATCCAAACATTAACATTACCGTAACAACGATCTGATATTATGTCAACTATACGGCGAAGGAGGGAGGGTACAGTCCTGTAAATATCACCGTTACCTACATATCCCAACCAGGACAGTCAGAATGATTTTGATGCCCTTACATAGTCTGTGATTGTTTTTTTTGACATTAAGAGTGGAGTGGAAATTTGGAGGCGATGGCAGAATTAGAAAACGAAAATCGGCACGCCTACTCTTAGGGGGAAATATTTCACAAAATACAGTAAAATCATGATCATGGACAAAAATTAGCACGAACATTTTTTGCCCAGTTTTTCTGCCCTGAGTTTCTAATGGTACATCCAGTAGTTAAGTGTGATGAGTATTTTTGCCGCCCAAATTAGCGATTTTGTCTGCTTGAACAGCGCTTTTTTTTTGTGCTACTTTTTCGATGATTTTCAAGGACATTTGCTGAGCTATATTACCATTTTAATAATGTATGCTGAAATTGCCTACCCTATTCCGGACACCCATCAGTCCAGCCAGTTTGGCTAAAACAGGAACAGCATAAATATACAGCTCTCCGTGGTTGGTCCATGTCTGTTACAATTAACAAAAATGCTAGTATAAAATATAAAAGAGTGAGTAAAGATTATGTCCACTCCATATTTTATTTTGAGGAGGGGAGCGGGTAGGTGGTCATAACCTGTCGGGTGAGTCAGCGCCATCAATTGTCAGTGTGGGAATGTAAATAAGTGTACGAGGCTTTAACAAACATAAAATCTGAAAATAAAAGGGGTCGATCCAAAAAACTCAATGGCTTGTAGGCCAATGCAACCAAATTTGTTAGAATACCCCAAAATTAAAACCGTATCTGAAATAGTCGGAAAGAAAATGATACATGAAATAAAAATAAGAGAGGAAAGCGGAGAAACAAACTTAAAGGGCGGTGGTCGTCGCGCAGCGCGTGTTCGAATTTCATGTAAATAAACAGTGTATTTTACACGCGTTGTGTACGTCGCTATGAGTCCCATATCGAACAGGACGCGGCACGACAACGGCGCCCTTTAACTACCAGAAACTATGATATAGTAAAACATCGTCCTCTTCTGAAGGTAGGAAAGGACAGGATAACACAATAAACACTAAAACAGTCACTTATGTCAATAAATAAATGCAAATTCTGATTGCCGAGCCAATCCTGTATTTAATAACAGTAGACATAATAACAACGAAATGTTGAATAAGTTAAAGATGCGACATGGACGAAACATGTATTTTTTTATTATTGTTGTCCGATGCTCTGTAATGTACATCGAATTGGAATATGATTTACCATAAACTAAAAAATATTGCGTTTGCTTGACAGTCAAATGTATTCGTTAGATGAAAAATCAAAACCACTACGCATGCTCGGTGTTTGTTAGTATCGTATCGAAACTATCAGTTCTTCTACTCTTGATGGGTACTTATCTCTGCATGTGGACGTACCTACACGCGGTGATGATATGTTTGATCTCTACTTTGGTCTTTACTAGTCAAGTGAAAATGTTTGATTCCATTGCAGCACTACCCCTTTAGTTAGTAATGATTACATGGCAAGCGACTAAGCACAATTTTTCTAAAATTAACTTGAATGTACCAGTGTATTTGTTTCACAAACTGTCACGGACAACATTAGAACCAACTTGCAAAAACAAGCCTGGTTTAATTTGGATAACTGTGATACGGTGGGGGCTTGGCAGCTTTTTCAGGATAAAATTTACTGCTTATACGAAGAGTAAATTGTGGTCGTCGCTGAAGATGAACACGACTATAACAAGTAAAAGTATATGCTTAATACATCTGTCGAGGTTAGTAAAACGAAACACTTTTATTAATATTAAGATTAAATCATTCTTTGCCTATTCTAGTTTTAGACAATATATAAATGATATGTACGAAATAATTCAATATGATGAGTGAGTGATTGCCAATATCATAAAGCAGCTAGAGATTACTGATGATAATCTTGAGTGAACCTCAGGTTTTGTGTGACAGTGATTGTGGCACCATAACAATTCGACTTTTCAAGTATAACATGTTTATGTCGTCAACTCAAATTTCATATTATAACTGCCTACTGTTTCCTTGGATTGAAGCTTGACTTAAAAACTCGACTCTGCTTGTTGTTGATAAATCGCGTGCATGGAAGCATTTACCATGGTATAACCACAGGGATCGCCATCTCATTCTACCTTTATATACTACCTTCAGTTCGCCCTCGTCTAGAATATTGTATTTAAGCCTGGTCACTGTCCTTAGAAAGGTCATTGAAGCCAAGAAAAGTGGGGACCTGATCAAACTTAGAGCAGGATTTCAAAAAGTTAATTACGAAGGTTTCTTTAAGAACAAAATGCTTATGACAGTTTTCATATGAAATATAGTAGACTTACTAAGACGGAATTTATTTAGCCAGAGAATTATTAATGATTGGAATATGTATGAATGTAAAACAATGCTCGAATTTAAAAAGAGACTTGATAACCTAAAATGAATTATTAAGGTTTGTTTGTTGTTTTGAGTACTTTCAGCAAAACACAATATTTGTCACACTTCCATCAGAATAATATTTGATGTTCACTGACATGTCAATGATCCAGGTCAAGGTCAAGAAACTTGCTGACCACGGATTAGATTTCCTGTGAAGCATTGAGCTGGCGTGTCCCTCTCAATATTGCAGTTTCAATTCTATAACATTTTCCAACTGACTATCCCAGTTCTACTAATCAAACTAATTTAAGAAAAAACTAAATCGAGTGACATGGGCTAATAAATATTTTAGTTTGGGGTGACTAACCTTGATATCAATATTTCACTGTCACTCGATTGATGGGTCCACATTTCACCACTATGCAATTGCCATAAAAACATTTGATAAGTCAATGACCTTCTTGTACCATTAACTCAATGTTGTTGGCTACCATTCAAATGTATTACTGTAAAATACTTTATTTTAGCTGGAATTAATTTTTGCTGAAATGAGTTTTTGAGTGTTTTGTTTTGTATGGAATTTATTTTCACTGATTTTTGACTAGTTGAATGTAAACTATAGCAAAAAAGGTATATTCACTGGATTTTATTTTACCTGAACCATTTCTTCAGCAAAAATTAAATCCAAGCGAAAGTATTTTACAGTATCAGATTTCCCAGACTATGACAGTGTGGCTTTATTTTGCATAAACAGTGAGATGTTCACTCCTATTCACTAGGTTGGACAACATCCTCAAGGAGAACATAACAGTACGATCAGGGAACAGGGGCGCAGCACCCTCATGCCATGCGCCCCTTACCCTGGGGAGATTGACCAGGGATCACATGTGGCCACAGTCTTCAACTGTAACCTGTCTGATAGTAATTTTGGCCCCAAGGAAGTCATAGAATGCTCCATTTTAACTTAGAATTATCAAATACTCCAACCCTAGTAAGGAGAACCCTATCTCCCCCACTTGGTCGTGCCGCTGAATTGCAGTTCTCCCTCTTGCAGTTTTTTTCTAGAATAACCCTTACAATACTATATCATTAAAATGAAGCCAGTTGTCTTAAGATAAACATATGAAGCAGGAATACCTTCATTCCCTTACATTTTTTCCAATGATTGTATATATTATCACGTGTTTATACATTTATTGTAAAGCTTACCTGAATATGACTGTGGTTGCATTATTTTGGTTATTAACACTTTGCAACATTAATATAATAAATTTCAACATCTAAATAGTGCATATAAATGACCTGTTGCTCATTTGGACTTGGAATCTCTTCGGTAATAGCAACAAAATAAATGTTTTCCCAACCAGAAATTAGTATTTTAAGCTGTGTAAGGTATACAACACTTTGACCAAAGGAAGTATTTAGTTTGCCTATTTGGAGAACCAAATCTAGATACAGTTTAATTTGAGTTTACCGGTAATCAATCTTTAACTTTTGTGGAAGTAAATTCTATCAAAATAAATAATGTTTCTATGAATATGAATAATCAACTGAGGAATCATTAAAAAAAGACAAGATTAACTTATAAATTGGTATAAATCAAAAATAAATCAAAATATTGGCTTTTCGAAAAGTTTGAAGTTCAAATGATGAATTAGTCATTCACCTCCCAGTTAGAAAGTATACATGTAGTTGTACTAGTTTTTCCAGAAAGCATACTACAGAGAGTGTATCTGTGGCAATATTATTTTTTCATGGAAAGAAAACAGAGACCCAATGACATCAGGATTCTTTCGAGGCATGATTCACGTTTATGAATGAGATTACGAACTGAATTTTGAATCAGATAGTGCTCCTTTCCTTGTGTACCCCATTTTAGGTATATATGTATAGCAAAGTACAGGAACATTATATAGTTATGACTCAAGCATATATAATGTGGTTTCCTCAAACTTGGATTCACACATGATAATGAGGGATGTAGATAGTGGCTTACACAAACTTCCCCATCCGTAAATTAGTAGTAGCTTTTATTCAGTTCATTCAGCTTTACTTTCTATGAATACACAGTATACATGTTCCATGACAGAATGACAGTTTTCATTTGATAGTCCATACAGCAGCATCATTAAACCCGTGGTTTTCAAACTTGCATTGTTCAGTAAGTCTGTATTTTTCTAACTGGTGGAGGTGCTTCCTGATGGGCAGTTGATTTAAAAACACTCTTCCAGGATCGCCAATCATAATCATCTTTCTTTTGAGAGATAGCAACTTCAAAAGCCAATCAGTGACTTGCTTAGTAAAAGATTCATCATAAAACATGTCTCCAAGAATAATTGTATCAAATTCTGTGTCAACTTTTCCAATCATGTTCTCTGTACTTGTTTCTATAGAAACACCATTTAGTTCCGCATTTAGATGGATTGCTTTTTCAGCAACTACAATTAAAAAAGTTGTATACACAAAACATATTAATCTTGACAGTTATGTTTAGGAACAAGTATATGTCATCAGGAATTTTTAATATTGAATTTCTGAATGGATATAAAACCAGAACATGATCATGTCTGTTATACTCACCTGGGTCAATGTCATTGGCAAGTACATTATTGGCACCTAATTTAATACATGCAATAGCAGTTGCACCACAACCACTGCCAACATCTAGAATATTCTTACCAATAACATAGGATGGATTATCAAGAAGAAACCTGTGTGAAGGAAATATCAATTTTCACTTCAACATACCAAATATTTGAGTATTGTGAAATTGGAATTAATAGCATTTCTTTAAAGGATTACTAAACAGATTTTTAATAGTATTTCTCTACCAATTTAAATGATTTTATTCATAATCTTATAAGAATTCTAAAGGATTTTTGTAGCATCCTCATATGAATAGTGATGGATTTCAACAGTATTCTAAGCTTATAGGAATACTAAAGGATTTTTCTTGCATTCTTAGAGAAATACTAGACAATTCCAATAGTAGTCTTATAGGAATTCTAAATAATATCTAGCATTCCTATAGAAATACCAGATGATTCCATTAGTATTCATAAAAGAATTCTACAGGATTTTCCTTGATTCTTATACATGTAGGAATACTAGACGATTCCAATTGTATTCTTATAGGAATACTAAAGGATTTTTCTTGCATCCTTAGAGAAATACTAGACAATTCCAATAGTAGTCTTATAGGAATTTTAAATAATATCCTAGCATTCCTGTAGAAATACCAGATGATTCCATTAGTATTCATAAAAGAATTCTACAGGATTTTCCTCGATTCTTATACATGTAGGAATACTAGACGATTCCAATTGTATTCTTATAGGAATTCTAAAGGATTTTCCTAGCATATAAACAAAGATGGTGACTTTGACTGTTGCGCAGATCAACCAGTACAAACTGAGAGGTTTCCAAGTTTTAATTAGGTAATTTTCAGGCGATTGTAAGGAATCCGGTGGTAATCACTCAGTGGATTGTGGGTAAATCAATGTTTATCAACACAAATGTTGCACATGCGCAGCGCGACGACCACTACGCTTTAATGGAATACTAAAGGATTCCAATACTGTAAAATATTATATTTTAGCTGGATTGATTTTTTGCTGAATAGACTTTTTAGGGTGTTTTGTATGGAAATTATTTTCACTGATTTTTGATGATTTGAATGTAAAATATAGGACAAAAAGGTATATTCGCTGGATTTTATTTTCACTGAATCATTTCTTCAGCAAAAATAGCGAAAATTAATTCCAAGCAAAAATAAAGTATTTTACAGCAGTAGTTTTATAGGAATTCTGAAGGATTTTCGTAGTATTATTAAAGGAAAAACAATTGGGGAGTTATGTTAGGGGCAACAATTTAAAATCATAAGGGTGGCTGGTAAAGTGTGAATTTTTTTTCAGAGTGACTTATTTGTACACTTTTATTTTTCTAGAAACTGTTTTTACCTGCAGCACATTGCATACATTTGTTGTTTTTTTCGTACCAGGCTTGCTATTTTTTAAAACAAATTTTCCAGCCACCCCCATGATTTGAAATGGTCACGCCCCTTACCTTACCTGGTTAATACTTGCCCTCCTGGCCAATAGAATGCCCAATATGGATCACTAACACCAGAAGTGTCATCAAATTTACAATGGTACAATTTACATTGTGGGGTCATCAATCGCAAATTTATTTCTGGCGTCAGGTGATCCGTCGTCGCCATGGTATTTTTAATTATAAATTGTTCTGACCCCAGTTTCGTCACGCCTGTAGGAAGTGCCCTGTAATGTTGCCATTTGTTCCTCCAGATAGAGGTCGCGTGACGTGAATAGCACTCGAGCTGCGACTGGAATACATATCGCTTTACTCTATATGTACGGAGACTGGATTGGATAATATTAAAAACGCGCATAATATGTCCGGCATCTACTGACAAACGTTCAGTTACAATCTGTATTGCACTTTGACCCTCCTCCAAGAACAACGGCGCATTGATCAAATTGCCATCTACGTCACGTCGTTGGTTATTGTGTGGATTATTTGCAGAACTTTGAACGGCCTGTCAGTGTGATTACACCAACACATCGATGAGGGCCAAGATTGTCTAGGAATCCATCCCGTATATTACATGTTATAGTAGCAATGTCACTCAGCATGCGGAAGTCGTTTATACGCGGCAATTCTATTTCCTTAGCATCCTCCCAGCCTCGTTTCGAACAAAAAGTTGTTTCCAAAATGGCTACCCAGGAACATATCCACGCCTTATGGCATGCGTTTGATTCGTTAGACGTGGACAACAGTGGTGTCGTTGCTCTATCTCAACTCAAGGTAGGTATAAAAACAATATGACACTTCCTCAACATTTTGCAGTAAATATTTTGCAGTCTGTTACACTGTTTTGTTCTACTTGAAGTAGTACTTCCGCTAGATGTTCTCTGTGACTTTGTAAACATTCTTGACAATAGACTAATAGCAAAGTTTGTGCAGTTTCTGAGATTACTACATCTTAGGGGTCTGGGCGTGTCTCACGGTGGCTATTTGTTATTCAGCGCCGAATAAAAAACTCGAAATATGCTCACCGTTGCCTATCGTAATTAAGTTTTATAAAGTATTGCGTGTTTCTCGGTAGTGGCAATGGGCGTGTTCATACACATATTCCCACTATCCCCGGCCTGGAAATAAAATAAAATTTATTGTACAAATGCTCGTAGCGGGTGAATAAACTTTTGACACCTTCCGATAAGTATTCCGGAAGTTGTACCATTCGTGATGCGACCCAAAATAGGCATGCATATACACATTTACATGTAATTAAATTACAGATTTTAGCATCATTGCGCATGCGTACGTGTCGTCAGCCGTATTAAAATCAAGAAACACAGAAGTTACATGTATCACAGTTCACTGTGCATGTATATAGGTGTTTTAAACTACCTTACAAATTTCAAAACCCCCAATCACTTTTTTTCACTCGTAATTGGAGCAACATGACATTCAACTTTATTCTTTGAAGTATAATATCAATATTTATTATTAACTTCAGTATTGGAAACAATAAGCATGACGAAATCATTCAGCCAAAAAATCGTTAAGACATCGCCATTTTGATTTCATGGACACTTTCAGTATCTTATTAATATGCATTTTTTTGAACAAACTATCTTTAAAATTATATATTCAACCAGCCGACCAATTTTAGCGCAATTTGAACTTTCCAAAGTTAAATATTTTCTGTTTAAATAGTTTCACAAGGAATAACAGGGACAGAAATATTTAGTACATTCATAAGTCGGCGACACAAACGTCATTGTTTCACAGATATGTACTGTCAAAATATGAAATAATTGCTACTTATTCGTTTCATTCTTTCCATAAACATTAAAATCTTGACCAAACCACTGTGACCCCTTTGAACTCATGCACATGTTGAACAAAAAAAAATCCTGCTTTTTATTTAAAATAAATGTCAATTAATGTAGCTGCAACATACTAATTTTCATTGGCTCATTTTATGACACGTGATATGTTTGATTCCCATTATTTGAACAAACACGCAATACAGGGCAGCACCTATATTTCAATTATAGTACTCCATAATTGGATATACAGGTACATAAACTCAAGTGGTGGCTTGAAAATAAAGAAATCATTGGTTACTGATAAGTAATATTCTAGATGAAAATAACCAGGATTTCCTAACAGTCATGGAGGGTTTATGTGTAAATAATTCATACAAAGTTCGGGAACATCTGTCATGGATTTACATACATTCTTGTTTGTGCATTGACCTCGATCATTGACCAGTTATCATTTATTAATAGAGCTGCTTGTGGTATCATTCAACCAATAAAAACGAGGCATTTTAATAATAGGTACCCCACTGTAATATAAATGTCAGTAGTTTCTGCAATCATTCTGAAGTCAATTATCACACAGATGCCAGGTATAAAGATCCAACTTGGCAGATCATGTTCTTTAGAGTCTGTAATAACTTAAGTACAATGTATATAATCCTTTATATTTTCCTCTCCTTCAAAGGAGAAATTTTGCATTTAAAATTTGATGAAATAACCAAAATGTTGGGAGTTAAACAGTTTTATGCACTTTTTAATGGCTTGAAGAGGTTGTAACAATATGCAGCAGAGTTAATTGAGAAATAAATAATGTAGTAACCAAGGCAACAGATATCTACTACACTATGGCCATGACAATTTAAATTTAAGGAAGTAAAAGAAACTTGTTCAAAAATCCTGTTAGTTCGTATAATAACATTCATTCGGACTTGCCATTGGTTTGATAATCACTGGTAATTTCCAGCAATGATTTTAACCTCAAACTATCAGGAAAGTAAATGTCTGAAAATCCTATGCATTTGCTGAATGATATGTCACATGTACAATTTGAGCAACTCATTGATCATCTGTTAAAACTGTTCACTATTACCGATAATAAAGCATTGACCTGCAGTGTTTGCTTTAGAGCAAATATGAGTATTTCACTCATGGTCTCTACATCATACCTTAATTTTTTCTTATTTTGAGATACAAGTGTTTTAAATAAAAATAAAAAAAACTAATGCCAATTTGGGTGAATTGCCATTTGGGGAACCAATATATTTGAATGTTTTTTAAATTTTTAACTAGGACTAAGGTTAACAATCAGGTAAACACAATACTGAATAGCCAAGTTGGTAAACAGATTTGTTATGACTTCCTTGTACAGATTGTCAATTGATATGTATCAGCCATAAGCTGTATTTTAAATGGTGCCAACATATTTATCAATGGATTGTTAAAAAATTCATCTGCTTTATTTTACAACTTTTTCTTTCTAATAATATTTTAAACTCTTGGCTGCCAAGAAAAATTATTACTGGTCCAAATATTAATAAGTACAACAACATTTTGGGATTTTTTTTTCCCTCTGGTGAAATTTGTATAAATGTTTTTTTTTATTTGTGAAATAGAAGTAGTATTGTATAAATGTGCTTATAATAATTACGTGTATGTATGAAAGTAATAATTTCTCCTCTTGGTTACAGGTAGCAACAGCCAATATCAGCATGGCAGCAGGAGTACAAGACATGCAGAAATCTGTGGATGCATTGACAAATCGTTTTGGTGCAGACAAAGCGACTCTCTCTTTTGAAGAATATGTAGATTTTGTTAGAGTTGAACTTCTTGGTGAGGGGATGTCATTGGATTTGAACCAAATACACAGCGTAGCATGGATGCTGTGTTCTAAACCACATATGAACAGAAAAGGTAAAAAAGTGAACGATGCTGATGCATTTAAGTTATGGCAGATTTTCAATCGTCTGGCAGAAACTGACCAGTACCCCTTGAGGATGGACAGTGAGGAAGTCGCCTATTTCTTACAAAAGATTGTCATTGCCATGGGAAAAATCTGGAAATCATCTGAATTTGAAGAAATTAAAAACGCCTGCCCAATGATGTCTTACTGGCAAGTTTTACACTGCATTGAAAATAAATTTGGCATGGGAATTGATGAAGAAGGCATATCCACCGCGGTTCAGGACGTCTATGATGAAATCATGAATGAAGTTGTCAAAATGGTAATTTGTCTTCTGTCAGTTCAAAGGTTGTATATTTTGGTCATTACTTGTAAACATAGTGGTAGAAATAGTATATATCAATATTTTCACTAGACATCAGTTATTTGTCTCATCATTTATATTTCTGTCAGTCTCTGATATAACAAATTGTTTCACAAAAAATAAATTTCTGTAAAAAGTACTGTAAAACAATTTATCTATCTATTTGATATTCTGATATCACTGGGTTACAAAGTTCACAAATTTGGCAGGAAATCAATGTGTTCTAATGTTAATTTTAATAGACGTTGATGTGGATTTATTTTTAACAGAATTTAGTTATCAGTAAAAATAAAAAAACAGTGAATAATTAATACGATTACAGTAACAAATCAATGTGAAATAAAAAATTTCATGAAACAAACCTGTTTTCATATTAAACATTTAATGAAATAATCAGAATGAAATACCTAATTTCTCCACCTCAAGTTTTACATTGATTTTGCACGACGACCACCGCCGTATGACATTTGCAATGGTTATTCTTTTAGGCAAAACAATTGTATGCAGCTGACCATCAGAACAATTTAGTTCCATAATCAGAAGAACTTGATTGGTGGTACCTTATTTTTTTTCAGAAGTTACCAGTACCTTGACTAATTTTGCACAAAGACATGAGACGTATGAGATTTCATTGGAATTTAACCAACTTGCGGCCAATTTTGTTGAAGAAAACTAAGTTTAAAATTTTAACACGTCATCAACAATTTCTCATCAGGCATGGTGAAACTGATTTCATTAATGGATTAATTTCTAATGCATGTCAATTATGTTCACCATTTAATTCAAAATACTAACTGGTAGACGTCATACAATGTACCTGTGTTTCAGATATAATTTCATCGATTTTTTTAAAAAAATTGTTATAAAAGCATTAAATGTTGGTATCAATATTTGCTTAGTTGTATTGGGGTTTTGATGAAATTTAACTGGAAGCCATTTTTGCCCAAAAAATTGGAATCACAAATTTGAACATGTCATGCCTCAGCCAATTTTATTCAAATTTGGTTCCAATGAACAACACAAATGTTTTGTTATTTGTACAACCATTTCTCTGGAAGACTGATCTCATTTATTGTACATGTATGACAACGAACGGTATTATCGTTAGTCGATCTCATTGCTCATTAGAAGTCACATATCTAAGCATTATCTGTGAGTGAACATTGAATCAGTCGTTGCATAGGAGTCAGCATGGATACCATAAAAAATGGCTGCCAATTAAACATTTCTTTTGTTGGCGTGAACCTTGTAACCTAATATGCAATGTATGATCATGATACAAAGTCAGAATGAAATCACCCTGTTCATTTCCAGGAATCTATTCCGGGCATGTTTACAAATCACAAAACACCACCTACAGTATTACATTTGTACATATGATTATAGTACCTGCAGGTGAACTTTAACTGAATCAGCCGATATATTTTTTTTGTTCAAATCTTTAAAAAAGAAATGATGCACATCTGTAGTCCAATATACATGATCAATTTATAATAATAATTTGAATGAATTCTTGCAGTTCATCTCTGAGAAATTGTCCCAGGCATTTTGCTGCAAAACCACTTTTACCTTGTCCGTAACATCAAAGATGAAAGGTGAAGGTATATTAAGGGAAAAATTTCTGTCCGTCGTTGTTAATAATTGTTATTGTGTGCATAATAACTTTACTAATTCTATTCCAAACTTCATCAAACTTGGTCACCTTATTCATCAGTATAAAGTCTTCCCTGAGTATGAACAGATGTCCTGTATGGAAATATCATGCAAAAATTGAGAAAATCTGATAAAATATTTTGGCTGTTTCTACTTGACTGATCACTGGTGATACACATTCAAAGGTCACTGATCTCAGTGGAAATATGCATTGTTGTCTGTGTTCAATGAAGCAAATCATTTATCTTATAATTATATCCTTGGTAATGTATCTCCCAAATCACATGGGAATACTATACTGGGTTTCAAAACCAACTCATGGAGAGTTTTTGTAAGCCTAAAGTCTTTACAGAAAACAAGATGTCAGAAAATCAATATAGGCACTACTATGAATTGGGTGCCAAAATTTGATCAGGATCTGAAGCTAATAGAAAATCTGTCAAAAGTTATCAAATCAAAAACAATACATAAAAAGTACATGGAAAGCAAAATGTTGCATCCACATTTTGAAAAGAAAATTGTACTAAAAAATAGGTATTCCGTATTTGACAAACAGTTCATTTGAAAAATGAAAATTAATTATGACAATGCATATTCATATTGAAACAAACTATGATAAAACGAATAATATTATATAACAAAGGGAAAGGTCACCAGAGTTCAACCATTTTTGCTGGGAAAGGATTGACCAGCTTAGTTGTTAGT